GTACTGGAGATAGCACTTATTTAGGGAATATTCAGATAAATGACTACAATATACAGAATTTTTATATATATAGATTTTTTTTTAAACCTAAAAAGCTATCCATACAATAGATTAATTAGGAAGACTGTTAGATACTCAGAGTTTTCTGGAACAATGGAGAAACTCTCTTCCATTGCTCAGAAGCAGTATTGGGGCACAGCATTTATACCCAAGCTGTCCTTCGGAGGGGGGGCGAATTTTCACCTGTGATGTTTCAATAGGCACCTCAGGAAAAGCGCTGCTTTGGGGGCTTAGGATTTAGTGATGCAAGATGGATGCTGGCTGGTAAGAAATGTTTATCCGAGAGGGTGGGGGGAGGAGAAAACACTTCCATAGCATTGCTCTTTCTTATTTTACTTGTTTTAGAAAGGACAAATCTGAACATTTTCTATCCTATACAGTGATATATCTAACATAATTTTGTTATGGAAGGGTGCACAACACAAAACTAGCAAGCTTTCAACATCAGTTCCCCCCGCCTGTCCTAATAGGCTGCCACTGGTCAACACACAAATCCGTATTTGAAAACACAAGCAGCCCTTCCTCCAAACTTTGGTAAGGAACACACCGTCCAAGCCCTTGCATGAATCTCTAGATGTTCCCGATTTGCAAACGGTAGCCCACGTTTTCCATTTAGCCCTGAGCTCCCTCCCAGCCTAGAAGATCAGTTTTCCTTGATCTTATCTAGCTCAGGTGCTTTGCAAACTGCAGGTGCTCAGTAAAGTATTTAGAGCCTAAGGCACTTTCAGTGAGTTTTTCCCAACGACTCCCACACAGTGCCAGCCACAGCACTTGGATTTCCCTCTCGCTCCCGTTAGTAAGAGATAGACGTGGAAGAATCTCCAGCCAGCCCCATCAGCCCCGCAGCCACGTGCGGTCGCTCCTCCTGCTCGCTGCTTTCAAGACAGGAAGATGAAGGAACGTGGCGTCGTAGTAAACCGTAGTAAGACAGGAGGGAAACAAAATGGGGCATGTCACATGCTCTCGGGCCTGGATTTTTCTCAATTAAGAACAAGAGGAAGTGTGTGTTTCCGGCCTCTGTCAGTGGGCTGGGTGGACTCGCTCACTCTCAGGATTCTGGTGCAGATGCACGAATGAGGCTGAGCGCGTAACGTCCTCAGTCGGGAGGCGGGGAAGCGTGGGGAGGGGGGTGCATTTGGCTCAGTTTTGCGGGCTGCAGAGGGAAAGGGGAGGACGGAGAGAGGTAGCGGAAGCGGTCCTCGGATGCCAGGCCGGTTACCGCGGGCGACCCCGGGACCTAAGCCCCCGCCCCCGCGCCGAGGCCCCGCCCCGCGCCCGCCGTTCCTCGCGCTGATTGGTTCTGACCGGGGCCAATCAGCGCCCCCCCGCCCCGGGCCAGATGTTTCTGAAAGTTGACCTTAGGATGCAGGAACTAACAGGTGACTTGCATTCCCACACACATTTTATTTCTAAAAAGCAGGAAGGGAGAAGAGCCTAATCCTGTCTCGAAATGGTTCCAAAAACTTAGACTGGTGCAGTCAGGAGGGTTTGTCTTAAGGTCTGTTAAAACCTGAAAAGGCCCCCTTCAAACAAGAATGGTTAAAATCAGTCCTGAATCAATCAAAATGTTTTCTTTCCAGGCCCCAGTTTGGCCATAAAGAATGTCTGACTGGAAGGCTAGAACAGGACAGAACAGGATATTCTAATGCACTTCGTTATGACCCCGTCAACAGCTTCTTCAGAAAGAATCCTCATTACAACTGACCCATTAAAGAATATCAGTCATTTTCTCCAAAACATTCCTATGTTTAGAGCTGCAAAGGAGGTTAGAATAATTTAGAACAAAATTCTCAAGTTACTGATGAGGAAATAAATCAAGAGGGAGGAATGCAGGAAGCGGAGGTGACCCGGGGAAAGGCAAGGTGCCGGGGCCAAGAGGGCTTGCGCCGGCCAGAAAGGCCACACAGCAAGGGGAAGGGAAAGGAGCGAGAAGAGGGAGAGCCAGGCTGGTGGTCGTGGAGGTATGGAATCCTGGAAATCACAAAAAGGAAATACAGTGAAATGACCAATTTTTTTTAAGGGGAGCGGGCATAACAAAGAATGACCCCTCCCCCCCAAAAAAACTGACCCCAAAGGGGATGGCTTCAGTCTATGTTTTTGCGAAAGCCTATCCTATTTGCCCAGCTGCAGTTTCAAAACTAAAAGACAAACTCGATGCTGGTTAAAGGGCTGCTATGGCTAAGTCTGAGAGGGGCTTTTGCCCCCCTTGGCCTCTCAACTTACACTCTGCAGAGAGTAGGCTACAAGGACTGCGAAATTCTGAAAAGGAACAAAAAAAAAAAAGACAATGCCAGGCACATGAAATAAGAGTTTGGAAACAAAGGGAAGGGCAGAGGGGTAAGTACTGGAAAACAATCTAGCAGGTCAGAACTAAGAAGAGACACAGAGACTGACAAGAGAAAAACAGAAAAGGTTGCTGGAGAGAAGGTAAAGCCGAAGGGCACCCAGCAAGTCCTGAGCTCCTGAGCTCAATGCTTCACAAATATTAAACAAGCCAAGATGTTTCAAAGGAGGGCTTGGGAGAAAGGGTACACCCCTCACTGCACCTCTGTTCCTTTCATGGTGTTTCAGGTTTCACCTGAGACATGGAGAAAGAGGCAAAGACAGCAATTGCTACGAAAGTTAGGAAAACAATGTTTTCACAAACTAACAGTCATTCTGAGCAGAAGCTGTTTGCCACTGACAGGTCTGATTTCTTTGTTTCAGATAACTGGCTATCAGATAACATCTTTAAAGTCAACTGGGCAAAGGCAAGCAAGCAGAATTGAGGACGTAAAGGTGCCAGGTGGCATTTGGTGCCACACTTAAAACACATAAACACACATTTACTTTTTACAAGTACACATTGTAGAATTTTTATGGCATGGTGCAGTCAAAGCATGGCCTATTGATACTCTAGGATTATGAGGGATATGATTATATGATTATTCCAGAATATTATATTTTCCTTTAGAAAGCTAAGAATAGATGGTTAGGTTGTGGAGGGGTTGTTTGTTTTGTTTTTTGGTTTGTTTTTTAATGTATCTTCACATAAGGAGGATTTTATTTTAAAGCCTCTTAAAAATAGAAAAAATAGAAAACTATTTGGTCAATTTTCTTCAGAGAAAACATCATTTATCCTACTCTATAAAAAGAAATCTATGCAGTACAAGTTAAGAAAAAGGGTGATAAAATCTTATTGTTTCCTAGCCTCTTCTTTCATCTCCTTTAAAAATGTTAGTTCTGCTGGGTTTGTTTCCTTCAAATTCTCATTACTTTCTAAATGAAGCATTTTATAATACAAATGGTTAAAGTGTTACAGGGATTCCAACTCTCAAAAATATCATTGGAAATAACTAAAATTAATATGTTGACATTGATATGCACAATTAAATATCTTTTCTAGTGAATAAAAACAAATATCGAAATAAATACTGATTAAATAAATGCTTTTTGTAACTCATAACCTAAAATCTTAGTTTGAAGGTTCATATACCTATATCTTGATCTACAAAACAGAGAATGATATCAAATATTGGAAACGGAATCAAGGAGACCGTGACCACATAATAAACAAATACCTATCAACAGTAACCCAAGACACAAAATTAATTTCTTATGAATGAACACATTTTGAGAAAAACGAATGATTTTAAAAGCTCATTCTATAAAGCATATACAAAATTCACAAGATAATCAGTTTGTCAGAATAAAGTGTTTCCAAATGCTGGAAACTTCTGCATTGCCAACTCATCACATTATTTGCAAACTATACTCCTCTCTTCTACCCACAATTATGACCACCAGAAAATAGGCTCAACAGAAGGAAGGGTAGGCTAATTCTCTATTACAAATGTTTTTCATTTTCAATACCCTTAGCCACAGAAGTCCTAAAGCCAACTTTCAACATTTACTGAGGCGTTTACTCTTAAACTTCAAGGTGAACAATAAATATGCTAAAAGTGAAGAGTAGATGGTTTAGCCTTCAATGCAAAACAAAACAAAACCTCCATTTCCCTGACTTATAAGCCTTCTTTTCACCACAAATAAAATGTTAAGCAATTTTACAGAAGATGTACAGTAGCCCCAAATGATATGTGTGATGTCTCAGTTCAAGAAGAGACAACTGTAAGACAGACATGCTGGGCTGAACTTCCATAACTCTTAACTAATAATGGGTCCCAGACGCACACAGTTTGCTGCATATCCTGTAAGTAAAAGCAGCCGTGCCTGTGAGATGGTGGGTCGTGTGGAAATAATATTTCACAAATCCTGGTACAGGAACAAAAAGAAAATGTCACCTATAATTACTTTCTTGAAAGATCAAGAAAGTATCAAGATGGATAGGTACTTCTCTCTAAATACGTAAGCCTAAAAAACTCTAAGTTCTGAATTTTTTTAGGGCGCCATGAATAAAAACTGATGTTTCCTGCTGCTGTTTATGTTGCCTTGGTATTGTGAAATCACCAAACAAAAGCACACAGATTAGCTCGATAAGATCACTCTTAAGAGCTATGAGAGCTATGAGAAACTATCTTAAATGGTTTTGCTCCAGTACTAACAAATATCTTTGTAAAACCGTCCCTTCCAGGGGCTGACCTAAATATAAGAAAACTTCTATGAAGAGATCAAGGTTCTTATATATGAAGTTTACAAACCTCGGAACTGGTATTATAGAATCTAAGTTTGTTTTTTTTTTTTTAAATGCTACAGTAAGTAGTTCACATGGGAATTCTCAAGTGAAAAAGCCCTCCTGTGGCTGTTCCTACACGTTTATTTGACTCTCTGCCAGGTGTCACTGTGGGGTGAACATCTTGTGATCTCTGAGAATGTAAGTGTGTTCTCCCTAAGGAAGTGGTGGGAAGGAGCAGGAAGGGGCAGAGGGGAAGAACAGAATTCAAGCACAAGGTTCAAAGCAGTTTTGCCTTCTGACTTTGTCAACCATGGAAACGCACCTGCTGTGATGTCCAGTTCACCTACTGGCGGTCCTCTGGCTGCTTCTGGAAACTGATGCTGGCGTAGGTGCTTAAATCCTCACTGGAGCGGTGGGTCGCGATGCTCTCACTGCTGCCCAAGGGCTGATGAGTGGGCGGGGGTGGGGGTGGCTGCGGTTGAGGGGGGCGCTCCTGAGGACGTTGTTTGACGTCCTTGGCCAAATCCAGGTCTATGTAGTTAAGACCATTCTCCAAACCTCCAGAAGCCCCACACCCTTGGGCTTGCTCCTTGGAGGATCCCCCAAGCTCCCCAGGCCTCAGCCACACATTCTCAAAAGAAGCAGAGCTGTGGCGTTTTACATCCTCACTGCTGCTGCTGCCACCACCACCACCACCGCCTCCTACTGCAGTCACCCCTCCGAAGGTCACCGCACTGCCTGCCCGAGTAGCACTAGGTGTCGAGGAGAAGGTCTCGGAGCTATGCCTCCTCCGGCAACCTTGCGAGTCTGCACGGATCACTTTGGCACTCTGGTTGCGGTTGGGACTGAGGTTCACCCGGGTGAAGGCACTCATGCCCCCGGGTCCCTGCGGGGCCAGCAGGGAAGAGCGGGCAGCCAGCTCAGCTGCTCCTTGAGGCGCAGCAGGGGGAGCAGTAGCTGCTGAGGATGAGGAGGGAGCAGCTGCTGTGGCCCTGGGCAGGCTTGCCTCCTCTGCAGCAATGCCTGTCCGCATGTCAGCATAGCTGACAGGGGTGACCGGTGAGGTGTCCACGTAGCTCTGACGGGGACAACCCATCTGCATGGTCATGTAGTCACCCCGGCTGCTGGGCACCGCCCGGGTGGGCCTGCAAACGCTAGCAGCCCCTGGAGGTACAGGGCCCACTCTGCCCATCTCCGCACCAGCTCTCTCTCGCCAGGATGCCCTCCGGCCTGGCCCCAGGTCCATGTTCATGTACTCCTCGGTGCCAGTCTCTTCCTCTCTGGGAGCTGGCTGGAGCTGGGATGGACACCTGATGGAAGGAGAGCTGCGGGAAGCCACAGGGCCAGATAAGTAGCCAGGCTGATCACTCCCGAATTCAATATTCACATATTCCCCTGGGCTCTTGGGCTCCGGAGGGTGCAACAGGGGTTGTTGCTGCTGCTCTCGGACCCGTGGTAAAGTGCTGGCCTTGGGATCCCCCAGGGACAACCTCGTGGGCCGAGCCAGGCGGCTGTTGGTTTGGGCAGCTGTATCCACCTTTCGAGGCAGATGGGGCTGCAAGACCTGACGGTGGGGATGTGGGAGGCCGGGCTCCAGCCTAGCCCCACAGTATCCCCCACCCAGGCTGTCGCTGCTGGTGGAGGAGGAAGAATCTTCCGCTGCTGCAGCATAAAGAAGGCGACCAGAGCTAGAGGAAAGACGGAGATGCTGGTGCCGGGCACCGTCCTCCGGCTCCCCAGGGCGCTGGGTGTGCTTAAAGGACCTTGGCAATGAGTAGTAGGAGAGGACTGGCTTGTGCTGGGGGTCCTCAGGGCCATAGTAGCAGTCGGAGGGGCTGCTGGTGTTGGAGTCCCCCACTGGTGACATGTTCATGTAGTCACCTGTGCAAGGCAAGAGCTTGCTACCACTGTTCTCCACTGGGGGTTTGGAGTGGGGCAGGGCGTGAGAGTGGTGGCCCCCTACCCCATTGGTCCACAGCTTCCCATAGCTGCTCCCAGAAGGGGCAGTTCTGCTGCTGGGCCCACCTCCAATGTCAGGGGAGCAGCTGCCACTGGGGGACATCATCATGTAGCCATTGGGGTCCACTCTCTGGGGATGGTGCCTGATAGGATTGATGATCTGCTGTGGGGCAGACACGCTCTTGGGGCTCATGGGCATATAGTCCCCACTACCCTTTTGGCTGGCAGGCACGGGGGCCACCCCTGGGGACATGGGCATGTAACCATCATCAGTGTGGAGGGTGGAGGTGTCTGGGCGGTGGTGGCCCCCACGACGCTCCAAGGGGTGCCCTTCCAGACCCTCCTCAGGGTAGGAGTGGGTGGGCACGAAGGCGGAGTGCCGGTAGCCCGGTAGCCGGCCTCCACTGCCACCTCCTGGTGGGTAGGCAGGCATCATCTCTGTATACTCCTCAATGGAAGCCACTGAAGACTGGGACGGTGTCTTCTGGTGGGAAATGGTAGGGGATGTGCCCGCCGAGTGAGTTCTCTTTCGGAACCTATTATCCAACTCTGCCGCACTGGATGCTTCATCCCCAGCCAAGGCTGGGCTGGTGCCCAAGCCAGCTCCTGGGAGGCAGCGGTGGCCGTTGCCACCTCGAGACAAAATGTAGTGACCATTGGGGGCAGCCAGAGTGGAGGCTCCTTTGCCACCCATGCAGATATAGTTGCTCAGCTCCTCCTCACCACGGGCCGGTGGGGTGTGGCCCAGGGAATCCGGAGTGACACTGCGGAAGGAACTTCGGAAATCACAGGGACTGGATCCATACTCATCGGAGGAGATGAAACCACCATCGCTGGGGGAACCGGACACAGATGCACTAGACCGCCGTGGGAAGAGACAGTCCGAGGTGGAGCCGTGGCCACTGGTGCTGCTGGACGAAAGACTGACCGGGCTGATGGCCGAAGGCGAGCAGCGAGAAGAAGGCATGGGGATGGAACGGCTGTGGTTGAGCGGCGGGTGCAGCCGGGAGCTGCCCCGATGACGGTGAGCGTGGGTCCGATTGGTGCTGGGACTCACAGGGCTGCCGTCCACTGAGGCTGGGCGGGACATAGTGCCTTCGCCGTCGCTGGAGGCGCGGACACGGAAGGAGCCCGGCTTCCCGCCCACCATGCTGGCCGGGGAGGTGGCGGTGATGCTCTCCGTGCGCGACCTGCGGGTCAGCCCCACCTGGCTGGGCGGGGGGTTGTTGAGATGGTGCCTGCGCAGGGGGACGCTGATGGGGTTGGAGCAGTTGGACGAAGACTGGCTCTTGCTTCGAGGGCGGAACTCATCGCTCATGGCCCGCATGGCCTCCAGAATGGTCTCGTGCATGTTCTGGGCCACCACCGAGTCATCCACCTGCATCCAGAACTCCCCGGGCCCGGTCACGGCGGAACGGCCCACCTCGATGAAGAAGAAGTTCTCCGAGTGGCCGCAGCGCCTGATGTTCATCAGCTGCAGCACCACGGCCGCCGCCTCCGAGTTCAGCTTCACGAAGCTGATGGTCTTGCTGGTCAGGCATAGGCGGTAGATGCCAATAAGGTTCTTCGTCTGTCCCAGGCCCTTGGGTTTTAGGATGACCTGCCAGACCTCCTTGAACGCGGGTCCTGGGGGCACGTCCCCATAGCTCAGGTCCTCCCCAGCCTCCCCGACGCCGGAGCTGCCGCTGCCCCCACCGCCTCCAGTCCCCGGGGCGGAGGCGCCATCGTGGTGGCCCTTAGCGCGGTTGTGCAGCTGCAGGAGAGCCTGGTACCAGCTGTCTTGCTCGGCCTCGCTGTCCGCCGCGATGGCAAAGTGTTCGTCCCGGGTGTAGAGAGCCACCAGGTGCTTGTTCTTGGAGTCAGCCCGCTTGTTGATGTTGAAGCAGCTCTCGAGGGGGATCGAGCGTTTGGGGGCGCTCGACTTGTGCCGCCACTTCTTCTCGTTCTCGTAGTACTCGAGGCGCGCCGGGCCCCCCGCCTCGCTGGCCGCCCGCAGCACGAAGAAGCGCTTGTGCATGCTCTTGGGTTTGCGCAGGTAGCCCACCTTGCGCACGTCCGAGAAGCTGTCGGTCTCCGGAGGGCTCGCCATGCTGCCGCCGAGCAGAGGAAGACGCCGAAAAACAACTGGGTGGGGGGCGGAGGGTACTCGCCGCGGCCCCGCACATGCAAACGGGGCTAGATGCAGCAGAAACCCCGACTCCGAAATCCACACCGCGCCCCACGCCGGGGATGGGCAGTCAAAGAAGGACGCAGCGGCTGCGCCAAGGAGATAGCCCCGACCGAAGTTTACGGGCGTTTCATGCCCGCGGGGGGAGGCAGAGCGTCCGGGGTGAGTGCAGCTCCGATCCTCCGAGTGCCAAGTCTCTCAGCCGCCGCAGTCGGGAAGGAGCAAAGATGCATCTCTCGCCGCCCGGCTGGAGTCCTGCGCAAAGAGGCGGCGGCGGCGGCGTCCGGGGGGTCCCTGCGCTGCCCCTCCAGGCGCGCGCGCGCGCGCCTTCCCTCCTGAGTTCCCCTCTGGAAGTAGCGATTCCCCAGGCAAATTAAATATCCTTGGGCAGGGGGAGGCGGGCTGCCAAGTCCCAACGTTGCACGGGGTTCTCCCTCCTCCTCCTTCGCCTCTTCCTCCGCCTCCTCCCCCCCCCCCAACCGTCCCCGCCGCCACCAGCCGCCCAAATACCAGCTCAATCGCAGAGACCGCGGCGCTGCGGCTGTGACTGCTGCTGCTGCTGCCGCCGCCCGCGGACGGGTCCTCTGCAGCCCCCATTCGGGCCCATGTCGGGCGGAGAAAGTGGCTTTTGAACGCGAAACGCTACTAGGCAGCCGGGACGGGCCGAAGGGACAAGCTCATCCCGGCCCCTCGCTCTAGTCGGGGGAGAGGCGGTGGGGAGGGGAGGGGGAGGTTTGGGCAGGACTCGGGGAAGACGCCTGTTCCCCGGGAGGCGCTGCGGCTGCAGTTCCTTCTCCCCTCCACCTCCTGTCCTCCTCCTCCTCGGAGAGTTGCCGAGAGCCCCAACCAAAACAAGCGGCGTCTGGCTCTGCGCGCCGCCGGCCCCCTCCGACCGCGCCGCCGTCTCACTCGGAGGAGAAAAACACGTGACGGAGCCTCCGCGCTCGGCAGCCCGGCCGCCGCCGCCGCCGCCGCCGCCGGGAGGCTCCCGCCTGGGTCTCTACATTCCGGGCC